GTATTTCCGGCTCTTATAAAGTCGCGTATAACTAATCTAGCTCTTACTATAGCGCATCTTCGAGTTCCTTATAGATCGACCGACAGTATATTAAGATAAGGTAATATAGTACTTATAGGACGAGTTTAGCGTAGTTATAAGCTAACCGACGATTTCTCGAGTACTAAAGGCTCGTAACTAGACGAGAAAGAAGGCCTTCTATATCGCCTACGAGTAGAATAGCGAGTTGCGCGACAACTTTAGAATATAGTAAATAGGTGTATCTACGGAAAGAGTTATAACTGTCGACGAGAGCGCGTTAAATAAGCGCACTAGATAGCGGAAATATAGATACAGTCCTATTAACCGTCCGGTCTATAAAGAGGGCTCGATAGTGCGTTCGAAGAGGTAGAGTGTATTGCCTACTATCGGCGTAAATAGATATCTTCGAGGCACGCTTATATACTAAGGTTCTATTACTAGCGCTATGTTCGAGAGCTAGCTTAAGAATACGGTCTTGCTACAAATAGAGCCTAGTATAGTATTAGTAATAGATAACGCGTTAATCTACCGTACTAACGGCGTACGAGAACTATATCGATAAGTAGATATCTACCTAAAGATGCTACCGCCCTATTTACCTAACTTTAATCCTATTAAGTTATCGTTCTCGTCGCTAAAGGCGTAGGTTAAGAAGAACATCTACGAGGCTAACTGCTTTATAGACTTCGGACAGTTTATAAGACACGTAGTAAACGAGTTGAATATAGAAGACAACGTAGAAGCGTAGTTTTAGAAGGTAGGTTAGAGACATTAATTATACTTAATCCTTTATAGACTCGCTTATACTAACGACTATCTCTAGCTTAGCAATACGGCTCTTTAAGTCTTCTATTTCTTGTTTTATTTCTTCTACTATAGCACGCGCAGTATTAGTAGTATAGTCCTTTATAATAGCTTTAATATACTATAGATTAGGTAATGCTAGCTATAGCGATAAGCTTCTCGAATAAGCTAACGACGGCGATATAGTAGAAGTATCGATATACCCTTCTATACCTCTCGGCGGTAGTATAGTAACAATCTCCTCGTCGCCTTAACTGTCCGTAATCTACTCGAAATTAGTTAAATCTATAAAGATACCTAATCGGCATACCTCTAATACGCTACGGGTAGCTATTGCGACAGAAGAGCCTAGAATTTAGTAGTTTCGGAATTATTTTAATCGCTAGCGGCACCTTAAGACTATTTAAACTAGCGCCGTTAGTATATCGCTATATTCGTATCGCGATCGAGTCGCGATCGAGTCGCAATCCGGAGAGTACCCGCTTATAAAGCCCGAATCTATAACGACTAATAGGGCATTACTATAATACTACTACAATATATCTATATTATCTCTTCGGTAGGAAATAGCACTATCGATGCTGCTAAACAACCTCCTATTGTCTGTTTTAAAAAATATACAGTTGTTATAAAGATATAGCGCTAGCAATATATTAGAAGTTTGCGACTTCTTAGCGCTTACTCTACGCCGAGATAGCCGAAATTTCGGCTTCCGCTCGGCGGTTTAGCTTTGCGGGTCCGGATTTGAAGAGCTGAATTTAACGACTTTAACTCGATACTAGCGCAATACTACAACGCATTGTTTTTTATTCTTATAAGTATAGAGAGCCGAGACTATATCTATCTAATATACCTCTAATTTATACTATACAAAAATACGTAGTATTAGTAGAATAGCAAGCGACAATAGTTAAGCTAAAGTTTAGCTATTAAACCGCCGTCCTATAACTAGAAATCTACCCCTAACCTCGCTTCTATACTAAAATAGCGCTTCTATAGCTAACGACAGAACAGGCCGTTAGACGACTTATTAATGCGATTAAGACGCTGCTTACGGACTTAGATAACTATATATCGCTTTACCGCATTAATAAAGCGATCGTATTGCCCTTCTTTAAGTCTAGCAGTAACCTAGCGAGTTAATTTGACCCTCCTTAGCTGCTTAAGTAAGAAGTCACCCTCTTTAGCGAAGATACGCTTAATATTAGATATATCTACGTATCTCTCGGTCTAGCTACTACTTAATTCTTTACGCAACTAGCTAAAGAAGCTTATTAATTCTATATCCGCTATATACGATTAATAGGAAGCGATTAAACCTAGAATTAGACTTAATAGCAGTCTAATAGTTAGACTAGAAGCCGCTAGCGGACTAGACTTACGAGAACGCTTCTACGGAGCCGGCTATTGCTCCCTATAGTAGTTGTAGATTACTATAGGGGTTGTAGAGCTAACAGCGGCTGTTCTAGTTGTCTGTAGAGTCTTAAACGGATTGACAAGCTATCTGCCTCTGTTCTTCTATATCTTTAATACTAGTGCGGAGCCTAGATCGTTAATCGATAGGCGACTATCTCTTATACCTCTAACCTACCGAGAGGCAATCTTAGGGTAGATCTTATAGTAATCTTCCGCTCTATCCGGACCGCTAAACTAGTACAAACTACCCTTGTTCTAGTAGTATCTGTTCTTATACGGCTATCGCTTTGCTAACTCGTATCGTTAATCGGATAGTAAGCTAACTAAAGCGGCATTATTATCGTTAGCTTTAGCTTCCGAGCTATTAGATTAACCCTTAACTTCGGCCTAGCTCGTATATAGAGCGTCTAGTTGTTGCTAAGTAGCTGTTATACGAGGTCTAGTTTGCCGGTTATAACGGCTCTATAAGGCTCTACCTATACTACGGACCGGCGGCTCTTTAATAGTTACTGTCTTACGGCGCTTAACTAACAACTTAAAGTCCAATCTAAGGCCCTTCTTGCCTTAAGAATGCTAAGAATATAGTATATCGTACGTACGTTAGAAATTGCCCTTCTTAATACTAGTACTATAGAAGTAGTGTTTACTCTTAATCTTATCCGCTAAGGCTACTATCTCTAAGCTAGCTAACTTCTAGTCGTCGTCGTTAGAGCTAGTTACGAGCTAGTTAGCGTACTAGTCGTAGACATCTTCGCTATAGGACTCGCTATTATCGGTTGTCTCGCGAGGATAGTACTTAGTCGATAGTAGCAACCGTAGATTAGCTAGATTAACTATTATCTACTATAATACGTATTCGAAGACCTCTCGCTCTTATTCTATAGCTTTATCTTCTTCTTTAGCTAATATATTATCGTTATTATCTACTCCGGAAGGCTGCGTTTACTAGGTCTTAGCTAGTAACTCGTCGTCTATTAGTCCTTTACTTAACTTAATAGTCGGCTCTCGGCGTAGTCTCTTAGTAGCTCGATTAACATTAGCGGCTAGTTGTTATATAGCAAGGGCTTCCTTCTTCTTAGAAGAAGGCTTCTATACTCGCTTAGAAGCTCTTAGTATAGCGACGGCTTGTTAATAGCTTCCGAATTGGCCTCGTTCTTAACCCGGATCGTTACTAGAGGACCTAAGTGGACAGAAGTAAGAAAGGCTTTCGTTCCGTGCCTAGATCGCTACCAATTTTATATAGTGCGAGTAGGTCTACGGAAAAACCGAGGGTACGCAGAAAGTCCGAGATCTCCGCAGCATGGCGCATCATTTTGAATACAGCAATAAAGCCAGATGCCCTTGAACATCGGCCATGTCTTCGCCTCCAAAGAGGCGCACCTGGCCAGTCCCCTCAGCTGCTTCCTTCTATGGCTATGAACCTCCAAATCTCCTTGCCCCAGTCGCAAATCTTGGACAATGCAGGATTTTGTCGTGGTGGATATTTATAGCCACTTCGAATCGCTGTGACCTGGATGCTCTGGACGGACCGTATTGCAATTACACTGCGTATGGCATCACCGGCAGCAGTCCTGGTATCGATCCAATATATCCCGATAGCACATCAAACGGATATAAGGGCCAATTGCAATGCGGCGCATACAAGCCGACTCGGGTCATATCCGCGTCATATGAAGAATCCGAGAAAGACTTCCCAAAGAACTATATGCTTCGTCAATGCATCGAGTTCATGAAGTTAGGCTTGCAAGGCCACACAAGTTCTGTCTCAAGCTCCGACCATGACTTCGGTAATGCGCCTGGTGCCCGTGGATCACGACCGTCGGTGCAACTCCGCTTTATTCGAATCAGACGGTCCTCGACAAGGAGAGCGCTATGCCGGTCGATCTTTGGCGGCCAGGGAGGGCTAATGCATTGCATACCCTACTTTTCCACAGCTGATGGCTTCTTCAATTATTTTGCGACTGTATCGTACCAACAACCTGCGATAGATGAGTATTTTGCAAAGCACGACCCTGGCCATCCCTGCTACACTGTAAACGCCAATGCCACAAACATTGGTGCTGGAGGCGGCATTTACAATCGCGCAGGTCGAGGATATCCATATATTTCAGCGAATGGAGGTTACATGCCGGTGTTCTCGCGGGTAAAAGGTCCTGTTGGCTTTATAAATCCAACTCTCTACGCCAATCCTTGGATCTTGAATGATATCGTGAATGGCTTCAACCCGGATTGTGGCAGCTCCAGATTCAAAGCAGTTGAGGGATGGAATCCTACCACGGGATCGGGTACGCCGAATTATCCAAAGATATGTTGAAGCTGTTTATGAGCTCGCCATGAAGTAGGCCCAAGGCGGATTTGCCCTCATTGTGGATTGTGAATTCGCACCACTGCTGACTCGAGAGTCACAAAATACTACTCTGAGCGTTTCGCGATGAAGTGGCGCGGAGGACTACTTTCCAGAAAAAAATCGGTTTCTGAGGCATGAGAAAGCTTGGCATCGCATCCTTCCCGTAATTGTTCGATGTCGCCCAATGAGATCCGCAATAGAAGCCCCTTATACACGCCACAGCAACCGAAAATTCCACAAGAACGACTCTCTTGAAACGTTCAGGTGCGCCAATGTCTTTATAAATATCTGTGTTCAGCCCATAAGAGCGTAAGACTCCATTATTACTTCACTACGAGCCCCTTTGACCTCAATTTCTCTTCGCTTCTTACCAACACTGGGAAAATTCTTTCATCCCAAGAAACCCACGAAAATGGCATCTCTATTCGCCATCTCTGCCCTCCTGGGCGTGACTCTCGCGCAGACCAGCACACTCACTCTTCCATTCTACAGCTACGACCAGCAATCCATCGTCGGCTCCGTCGTTGCCGTCAGCAACCAGATCACAACCCTCCAACTCGCATGCCCAGACAACACAGATGGAAGCGACTGCGGCCTCTTCCCATCCCAGACTCTAATAGTCGGACCCTCGACTTACAACATGTTCATGTCCGCTCCAGACGGCGCCTTTACCGGAACACAGCAATGCAGCGCAACAGTCTGCACCGAGAGCAACGGAGGCAGTGAGGCCAACTTCCCAGGTTCAAGCGTGACCACGTACGATGCTAGTGATGTTGCAAGTCTGCCAGTCACTGTCACTGCCGGCGCGGATAAATTGGGGAGCGGAGGCGCTACGACCACTGGGGGAGGCAGTGAGAGTGCAACATCCACTGCCAGCACCGGATCGAATGCTAGCCAGACGACTGCAAGTGTTACAGAAATGAGCGGAACTGCGGGCACTGCAACAGAATCAGCGGCTACGACTAGCTCCAGCAGTGCGGCGTCGTTACGAGATGGAGGATCTCTTGCGGCCGCATTCGGTCTTCTCCTCGGCAGCCTTTTGCTTTAGAGCAGCACTACCCTAATTGAGTCGACCACTAACACCAACTCGCGACCCCTCTGCGCTCTCGGCCGTCTCATCAGTATAAGGGCTGGCGCAGTGTGCAGCATTGACATTTTTTCAGCTGGCGTGAGTTCGTGAACGTCAGTCAATACATCGTTCATGCTGAAGAAACCCTTGACCAAGCTCCACTCATCGAGGCCCATCTGGAGCAAAGTGTCAACCACCGCCTTTGGGTTGGAGCAACAAGTTGGAATTTGGACATCCGTGGACCAACGTGACCATTTTGGCAACCGATTCATCGCGATCGCTCGCGGAGCATGTGAGAATTTCCAGGTGCTTCAGGCGTGTAGGCGACCGCGTGTTGTAACAAGACTGGCTCCATAGGCAGCTCCGAACGACCGTATCAATGTGGCAAGGCGACTGAATTGGGTATCATCGTAGCTACTGTCTATGGATATACTTCGAGAAGGACAGGTCTCATAGAGAAATCTGTCAGAATCAACTTGACAAGCCTGCGAGTCGAACACTATCCAACCGGAACTGCCGCCATTACAAGCCCTTGCGCTCAACGCAATTCTTATGTGACAGCGTCCGCCATCTTCCAAAAGCCATTCTCTTCTTGCGAGCTTTGCAAACTCCTGCGGCGTGCTATCGGTAATGTAGCCACCGCGCATCCAGGTCCAACCTAATACCCGTGATTGAGGATCGAATGTCTGATCAAGATCAGTTGCAACCGAGGCTTTGGACTCGAAGAAGAGCGGCATGCCGGCTAACTTGTCTGGCAGGCCACGAAAGTCCCTCGGAAATGCGGTCGTACTTTCTGGATACTCGCTATGAAGCACGATGCAATCTTGACGGGCTATGGTCAAGAAGGCGGACTCGCAGTCAGCATGTGGTCTGGGAGGCATCGCATGTAGCATCATCTCGCGAAAGCTAAATCGCAACACAAGTCCGGGCGTGATCAAAGGCCGTTACCAATTCCGTTGTGAGACTTGTACATTTTGATCATCTCATGTCGTGCATCCAGGCACCATTCAATTCTTCCGGAAAATTACCAAACATATTATCATCGTGAAATGTTGCCTGATCGATCGAAGGGTACTCGGCGTGGTAAGCGTCGTAGTGCATCCCGCCATTCTGCACCGGGTGATGTGGTAGCCATTGGCTCTGCTGTTCGGGCGACTGCATCTCCTGGCCGGGCATCTGAAATCCAACCGACGCGGGGCTTGTGTTCGTCGTCCCATTCTCGGGTCCTTGCTGTATTAGACGGACCGAGTGGTTGATCAAGATCAAGGCTTGCTTCATAAAGCTTGCTCCTGCCTCACTGTTGACTTTCAATGCCCATTTGAATTCCTTCAGCTTGCGTGAGTACAAGACCTGCTCTTCTTCAGCGAGAGCAGTGGAGGCCAGGATCTGACCAAATGAATGGATCAGCGCACAACATTTAGCGGAGGCAAAGTACCAGAATGAGTGCAAATGCTGCGCCTGAAGTCGCTGAATGAAGTCGGTAGCATTAGTGAAGCGTTCGTTGGCAGCGCTTCTGCAGACTTGCGTAACTGTTGGAGCAGGGTGGTCTGTGGCCACGAGGGCTCGGATAAGGTTCTTATGCATGCAAACTTCCACAGTGAGGTAGGACAAACGGAGATAGCCGACGGAGGAGAGCTTCATAGAAGCTGCTGTATCCATCTTGAGCGAGTCAGGCAATGTCAGAAACCATTCCTTCAACCTGATCTGAACCGGTTTGATCCATTCCAACAGATGCTCAAGCCTGTTAGGCGCAGCGTCGAGAACCTTTCTCGCTCTTGCCGAGAAAATGGTTCTCAGAATCTCACCTAGTATTACGGACAGGCGAGCCATGTGCTGAAAGACCAAGCGGCCGCGCTCGACCTCGCTACTGCCTTCCTGGTCGTCCTCGGTAGTGTCAGGGAAGTCGATTTCTGACAGTTCTTCCACGTCCCATTCATCTTGACTGATAAGTGATGGGCGACTTTCCAATAGCGCTGTCCACTTGTCTTGCATATACAGCGCCCAACCAATACGTCTCCTCAGGCCAATCTCCCAATCAGGGATGTCCCAGTACGAGCAGTCCAAATGGAGACCAAGGCCATGTGAGAGATTGACGAGCTGCACGGTCAGACGATCGCGCTGCTCGTATGGCGAGCCCATGAAGGCCTTTTGCCATTGAGAGAGCAGTAGACCGGCCTGAATGGTGGACAGCTTTGGTCTCCGCATAGTATTTTGCAGCGCACTGAAGGCTAGATTTTGGAGGGCCGCGGTGTCTATCCTGCGACTCTTGGCCAATTTCTCATCGTAAGACCAGTATCCGGACGCGAGCAGATACACTGCAGCTAATAAAGGCGGGGCAAATTCGCGGTGCGAGCGTGCGTATTTCTCCAGGAATACATGCTTGTGTAGAATTGGAAAGCTCGGGTGTACAATACGGAAGTACAGTTGCACGAGATGCGGACCGTGTCCAGAGGCTGTAGCTTCAATCTCATCTACGTCAGATTGCTCCTGGCGGTAGCCCTCGGTTTGGCTGTCCTGCAGAAGGCGAAATGCATGATGTGGATGGACAAACCTCACGTCGTCGTGCAGCGCATTCTTGGTATGGGAGCTCGCGCAGTCGCTTGGGTCGAGGATTTGGCCACCGTAGACGTCTGGGATTGCGTTGAGTCCGAGGTATTCCGTGTGGTGACGGTTCTGCAATCCGAGAGTGTGTTTGAGGAGCGAGGGTCCGGGGAGCGTATGGTATTCTTCCACACCGGTTCCGGGCTTGAGGTTGAGGAATCTCCGCTTGGTGGGCGACTGCACCTGCACTTCTGCTGCACTGCTCGGATTGGCAGAGCGCTTCCTGGGCTGCGGTGCTTCCAGGTAAGTGCACTGCTGGCCATGGAACTTGCACAGGACGCAGATGGCGCTGCCGTCCTCGGTGACACACTTAGATTTACGTCGTCTGCAAGCGTCGCATGGGCGGCCGCGCTTTGTAGTCGGTGCATCGTGGTGGCCTGGCCGGCTATTCTTCGACGTCCCAGTCATGCTGTCATGGGTCATCGCCCGTGGAGGGGCGGCGGCGGCGGCGGCGGTAGCGAAGGTCGCACCGGACGTGGCGTTGACGTTGGCCAGAAGCGCAAGCAGCACGTCGACATCCGGACCATTCGCGAGTCAACTCCGTAATGGTAATATGCGCGTCGTCGTGCCCCGACCTGCGTGCGCTTGCGCTTACGCTTGCGCTTGCCAGCCTGCTCGCGTGTGGCTGTCCTGCCCTGTCCTGTGGGTGCTCAGATGCCGGCGATAAGAGCTGTCATATCCCCTGTAAAAACTCGTCGCCTCGGAGCGTTCGTCGGCAAAACAGGCATCAACCCCTACAGTGTCCACTTAGTTAGCATATAGAAGCCGCTCTGTATATAAATGAACAGGCCTCAATTGGACTCGGTTATAGGTGCGTTAAACCCCTTCGAGTAGCTTAGCTATTGCCGCCGCTGTCGGCCTCTATATACGACTTAATTGCCTTTATATTTCTAAACTTAATTCTACTAAGAAGCATATAACAATAGCGAGCTTCTAGGCCTTTGTAGAAGAGGCTTATAACGACGATAAGGGTAACAATTAGCTAGATATATCCGCTAGTTTAATAGATAACGATAAGTTAAATACTAACTAGTTAGCTAAAGGAAGAGAGCCGATTTTTAAGAAGGCAGGAGACCCTATACTAAGTAGCGTAGATAATAAGGGTTTAGTAGTCGTAGAAGGAGATAACGACGTCGAAGGCATAGGCAGAGATAGTAGGGTAGGCGGATTATACTATCTAGCGGAAGGAGATAGAATAGAAGGTCGCTACGAGCTACTAACTAGCACCTCTTACTAGCGGAAGGTCAATTTGCCTATAGACCTATATAGTAACCTATCGTTACTAGACGACGTCTAATATCGCTTCTTTATACTCTTCTAGACTAATAAGGTTATAAACCGCCTTATCGAGTACACTAACGAGTATACTAGCAATAAGCCGCAATTTAAGAAGGATAATAAGATTATTATTTCCGGCTATAATTAGAAGCCGGTAGATAAGCTAACAATGCGGATCTTCGTTAAATTGATTATATATATATCCGTAATCTAGATGTCCGATAAGGCCGATTACTAGCGCGAAGATAGATACTAGCTAAGGCATAGTATTGCTAAGTATATAAAGGAGTAGCGATTTAAGCAGATTAAGGCCGCTTTATAGTACCGGAATAACGCGCTCTCGTTAAGTAGAAGAGGTTTACCTACCTAGACCTAGATACTACCGCTTACTAATATATTGCGTAGCAAATTCCGCGAGATTGTCGTGCCTAGTACTAACGTATCGATTAACGAGAGCATAGTCCGGTTTATAGGCAAATCTAGGCATATAATTATAATAAGAGGCAAGCTAACGCCTATCGGATATTATGTATTATATCTATATAAGGATAGGTACCTATATTCCTTCTTATTCTCGAGCCCTCGGAAGGCATATAAGTAGGAGGTAGAAGATGCGGATTCTATCGCTTCGACGGTCGCTTAGCACCCGGTAGTAACTCTAAAGGTTCTTACGGACGCTAAGAAGAAGGAGCGGTAGAAGGAGAGTAATAAGAAGCGTCGCGAGCGTAAGAACCGTAGTCCTAGTAGTGTTAGTTGCGGATTGAATACAGGACTGTATTTAGTATAGCAAGTAAGAAAGGAAAGTTACACTACTACGGCCCGTACCGACCGCGCGGACCGCGCTACCGAGATACCCGAAAGCCTAATCGTGTCGCCTACCGTCTCGCTTAGCTCTAAGCTAAGCTCGCTTAGGCAGGCTATTCTTCGACTAATCCTACAACTTCCTTTCCTATAATACTTCTTCTATATTTATATAGATAATCTATTTAATAACGTACTATTGTTTGCAGTCTTAAGGTACTTAGGCATCGCGGCGACTAGTACCGTACGATCTAGCTCACTTTCTTAGCTATAGCGCGGCAAAACCTTCGAGAAACTAGGGATACTAAAACGAGATAGTATAAGGAAGAATTCGACCTTCCCGACCCTTAATCGGAAGAGTACGCGGTTTCCCTACGATATACTACTTTGTAAGGCAATCTACGGTATAGCGGCGGTTATCTAGCAGGATAGGAACCTTATTTAGTTCCTTACAACCGGGTGTCGTCTATAGACCCCGTAGTAGTTCGGGTTAGTTTGGTTTAGTTTGCTAAGCCGAAACTCTAGTTTGGTTTAGGTTGGTTTGCTAAGCAACTATATAAGTAGCTGGTTCGAACTATATAATTTATCGGTTTTTAAGAAGTATACGAATGTATACGTAGCTTCAAGCAAGCCCTTTGTAAGACTTAGTAGTGTAGCCGGTAGCGTAGCCGGCATTTTTAGTCCTTAGTACTTATAGAATTTTCGAATCCTACTTAGGCTACGTAGTTGTATAAAGGTACTTATATAACCTTAAATCTATAGATAATTAGCTAAGGGCACTAACTAATTAAAAGCACATATATATATATAAGGCATTATAGTTTAGTTCGGAAACTGCACTCCTTAGGTATAAATTTTATCCTTTCGTTTACGGTTCAATTCCCTAACTGCTTAGTAGAATGTCTTTATCTAGATCTAGGTAGAACTTATCGATTTCCCTAGAAGTCCTCCTCCTTAAGAAGTTTATATACTTTCCTACCGAACTATTCGATAATATTAAGTACTAGGATAGCTCCTCCCTCGGTATCGGCATAGTATATAAAAGAGCTATAAGGCAGCTCTATAGAACGTTCCACTAGTTACTCGCTATACTAAGGCCGAATGCTAGTTCGTTCCTTAGAACTCTTAGTTATTTAGGAGATATAAAGGGTAGGGCAGGTAGTAACTTCGTATTATATAAGGAGGTAGAGGCTGCTATAGAAGAGGCCTTCAACCTATAGAAGATAGTAAAAGATATAGAGGCAGCTACAGGTCTAGGTACCTAGTTGAATTTCTAGTAGGTAGAGTATAAGGATATTTAGAGGGAGTATTAGGTAGAGTTGCGAAGGCAGGTATATAATATGCTCTAGAAAACAGGGATAGTGCCTATAACTATGACTATTAGGCTCTTTAACCTTCCTTATTTTTCCCTATTTTCTTTTTATAAAAATCTAAACTAATACAAATTAACCGGAATGTCTATCTTCTTTTAGTTCTTTAAAAAACCTAGCAGCGTAGCTAGCAGCGTAGCCGGCAGCGTAGCCGGCAGCGTAGCCGGCCTTTTTACTCCTTAGTACTAACGGGATTTTCGGAGACTTCTATTCCGTACGGCCAATAAAGTATACTATACTATATATATATGCTTAGAGAGTATTTAGAGCGCGGTATGCAGCGCCGTATAATAGCGGCTTATTTCGTATATAGAAAAGCTTGCAGACGACACTACGAATATCCTTCCTATTAGTATATCTATCCTATCTAGCACTATCTCGAATGTAGATATTCTAGCCTTTTAGGATCTAATCGAGTGCTTTGAAATCCTTGTCTATAATCGTTATACGCTTCGCGTAGATAGCTATAAGGTTAACCGCTAAAATAGTATTAGTATAGTCCGAAAAGAGGTAGAAGAGAAATATATATTCGAAGATACGAACTAGGTAGGCTTCTATAGCCTCTTAAAGGGCGCCTATCGCGGAGGCTTAGAAGCGAAGGTCTATTCTATAATCCTAGACAATTTCGCGAACAAGTCGTTAGAAAGGAGTTTTGCGGATTAGGAGCTTAGAACTCTTCTAATACTACCGAATCTTACGGAGGGCTACGGCTAAAGAAGGATTAGTAAAAAGACAGTAAGAATGCCGGCTACGCTGCCGGCTACGCTGCCGGCTACGCTGCCGGCTATAAATAGGACTTACTTCCTAGGCGCTATCGACGCTTCGTACGATTACTACTAGTAGTAGAAGCGCTAGTTGTCGTCTTACGTAGAGCCTTGCCCGCCGTTGTTTTACGCGGAGCCTTGCTCGCGACGCCCTTTCTAGTACCGGAGCTAGCGGCAGTAGTAGTAGCTATCTTACGTTAATGTACTATACTCGTTCCTTTATTTCCGATCTTGTTACGACCCGTAGAAGTAGCAGGTCCCTTCTTACGAGGCGTCGTAACTTAGTTAAGTAGATTCGCTATTATAAAAGTCGTCGAATTGAGGAAAAAAGTACGTTACGAAGGTATGCGAAGGCGCGCGCGGAGCGAGGGTATTACGGAGGTAGTAGATATAGAGCGTAGAGGTATAGGTATCGATACGAAGGTTGAATATAGCGAGAGAGGTAGTATCGCGGTATCGCTAGGTAACAGAGTAAGCTTCGCGTAAGCCTATATTATAGTAACGTTAGAGCAAGGAAAGAAGGCAGGCACGGCTAAAAAAGGCAGGTACGGCAGACTTTGAAATATAGCCGGTATATGTAGCCGGCATAGTAATAGGCGAAAGCCTCCTTTTAATAAATAGCCGGCGTGATAATAGTATCCTACTATAGTATAGATATTCTTTAGTAATGCCTTTACTAGCTATAGTAATCTTATAAGTAACCTAGGCCTATTGCTAGTAAATATAAGAAATATCAGGTAGGCTATACTAAACAAGCTAGTTATTTAGCAGAAAAAGGCCTACTACCGTCTCTATATGCCGGCTACGGGTGCCGACTATCGCTCTAAATTCAACTCCGCCCTATCTCGGAGGCTAAGGTACCGAGCGGAAACCCTATAGCTTATATTCACTCGGTTGTCGCGGAGCGCTTATAGGTAAGGTATTAGAAAAGAGTATAAAAAGTACGAGAAGAGTATCCTAGGATATAGGTCGTAAGTGAATAAGAGTAGCACGCCTAGTTATTTATATAGTACGTTACTCTATACGACTAAGAGCCTATATTATCTTATACTTCGCTTATAAGACCTCGACTCTACTAGTATACTATCGATCTCCTCCTCGGTCGCTAATACGCTGTCTTAATTCTTCTTCGAGTTACCGGACTTAGTGCGCATCTATAGCTATATAATAGCGCTACGTATTATAGAGAATCAACTCCGCCGTATCTCGAAGGCTAAGGTACCGAGCGGAAACCCGACAGCTTATATTTACTCGGTTGTCGCGGAGCGCTTATAGGTAAGGTATTAGAAAAGAGTATAAAAAGTACGAGAAGAGCATCCTAGGATATAGGTCGTAAGTAAATAAGAGTAGTACGCCTAGTTATTTATATAGTACGTTACTCTATACGACTAAGAGCCTATATTATCTTATGCTTCGCTTATAAGACCTCGACTCTACTAGTATACTATCGATCTCCTCCTCGGTCGCTAATACGCTGTCTTAATTCTTCTTCGAGTTGCCGGACTTAGTGCGCATCTATAGCTATGCAATAGCGCTACGTATTATAGAGAATTTCTCGTTAAAGTTTCTCTCTCGTAGGCTTGCTATCTGCCTCGTAGTATAGAGGATTAAAGTGCTAATACTAAAGAATCTCCTTATAGTTAGGATGCTAGGGCTCCTTAGGACCTTTGTGTTTTAGGTCTAAATAGAGACGTATTATAAACGTTCTATCGCCCTTTCGCTTACTACCCGCTAGGTCGCGATATGCGAAGAAACTAATCTAAATATAGCTCGTCTCTGTAATAGCCGGGTAAATATAGAGCGCTAGGTTTCTACTTCGTACCTTAGATTTAGGGACGGCGCGGAGATAAAATTAGAAATGTAGCCGGTACCTATAGCCGGCAAAACGATGCGAAAATAGGCCTCCTCCTAGGTTAATCTAACGACTAAATACAATTTCTAACTAATCCGCTATAAACCGACGCCGAATTTTAGCTAGAAGCTGTATATCTTTATTTTAAAGAGTAACCCGCTTCGTATAGATAGTAAGGAGGTTTAAAAGCTTAAGCTCGGTTACGAGAAATGCCTCCGTAGCTTCCTAAAAAGCACTAATCGCTTTAGCCGTAAATCGCATACTAGACCGAAAATCTAATGTAATTTCTCGGACGAGTCGCTAGAAGGGAGTCTTAGGGATTAAAAGCTCGGTCCCTCTTTTGTTTTAGAAAAGCCGGATCTAGCGAAGGGTAATAGTACCTAGTTTAAAGCGCCGCTTCTTTATCGTCGAGTCCTGCCTTATTCCCTTTCTTTTAATAGAAAGATAACTTTTCTTCGCGATAGTCTTTGTCCGCCTACTCTTTTTAGCCTTCTCCTATCTACCTATAGCCTTCTTATTTTTCGGTACTATTTTCCGAGGAACCCCCTTCCTTCGTATATACTACGGAGAGCCTTGCTCTTCCGATATCTCGTTCTCGCTACGGTCTCCCTATACTTAGCTTACTTTACCCTTGCCCTTTAGCCTCTAAAGATATTTATCTGCGCGTTTAGGCGACGAGGGCATATCGGTAGGACCTAGAAATTAATAAGCATATAATCGTAAGGAGACATTAATGCTTCTTGCCTTCTAGAACAAATAGTCTTCTATTAAACCGCCTTATTAGGTTATCGTTAGATTCGAATAAAGGATAGTAGCTTAAGGAAGGGGAGGCAGCCGGCTTAGGAAGGCCCGAAGAGCCGAATCCTTAAGGCATGTTTGTCTTTAAGAATATAGGGAAAGGGAAGAAGGAGAGGAAGAGCGAATAGAGAATTAGAAATAGTCCGTAGGTAAGCGGGGTCGGTTGCTATAGCAACTAGTCTGTTTAGGTCCTAGGAATTCGAAACACATTTCGGACATATGCCGGCTATATACGCCGGCTATATTACCTTATACGTAAACGCTTCGTCTCCTTAAAGCTGCTCTAAGCCTATATACGTTTCCGCTTCTCGACCCGGTATCGCCTTCTACCTCCGCCCTCCTCCTCTTCGTTATCGCTAATTAGGGTTTCGCTTAGACTAAATTTCGTATTCTCTTCGCGCTCCTAGGTTTCTTCGATCTTAAGGTTTTCTAATTCCTCGATTAACTCCTTTAGTATAATCTTTAGTAACCTACCTTAGCGATTCTAGTAGAGGAGATAGTATCGGAATACTATAATAGATTCGAAGGTAGTAGGCGAGTATGTTCGATTAAAGCGGCCCTAGTAACGAGCGATACTAAAAGACCTCTTATAGCCTATACCTACGCTCGGGATAGCGAGGACGTCCCGAGCGACCGACGCTATCGTTAGAAACTTAGGCTCTAACCGCTGCTATATAGCGAGAATATCGTCTCCGAATTCGTCTAGAAGACCGGTAAGATCTAGAGATTATTAGCCCTCTTTCCGAGCCTACGGGTTTATACTTACTCGCGCGCCGATAGAGATCGAACTCTTCTTTATTTACTTTAGTAGTTGCTTCCTCTTCTGCCTCTACTTCCTACCTACGAAACAGGTATAATATCGGAGCCTTCTAAACCTTCTTTTTCTTTATAGGAGCTGCATTTAGACTAGTTTCTTTCCGACGCTCGTAGAACATCTTTTCTAGAATAGTCTAGTAATACTTCGGCTATACCTCGTCCGCCTTCTATTCTAGCCTCTACTAGTATATATCCTTTTCTACCGGGTTAAGTAAGCACGCAACGCTATAGATATCCCCGAACGAGTTAAAGGTAGCACTGTAATATTTATGCAACTTAGTATAGGAGGTGTCTATAGCTTTCGTTATAGCTACTTTCTAGGGAACGCTCTTCTTAGCTAGCTTAGCTGCGGTTTCCTCGAGCTCGTTAAAGAGCTAGTTATAGTACGCAAAGATAAGGTAGATCGTCGGTCCTCGGGTTCTTCTAATCGTAGCAGTAACCTTCGCGTAATGCTTACTAATATCGACGAGATACTCTGCTTAGCGCTATTCGGCGGCGGTAAGGCCGAGCTACTTAATACCCTCGGAACTCTAATAGATCTCGAGAGCGGTACGTAAAGTATATCCCCTCGTAACTATATAGAAAGTCGAATCGAACCGGGTCTTAACGTCTTAGGTAAAACGGAGTAGGCGCTAAGGAGGCCGCTTTTGCTATCGCTTATTCTATACGATATTCTAGGCATCGGTTTTAGGGCGCTCGATTAGGTTCTTTTAAATAGCCTCGAATCGGTTATATCTCTATAAGCTCGAGTTCGTATATATTACTAGACGACGAAGCTAGAGAAAAAGAGTTAGAACTATACTAGGTTGCCGGCTATAGGTACCGGCTACGGACAAAAGTTATACCTTATATAAAACGAGAGCGAGGCTCTCTGCCTTATCCCGTCTTATTACTATAATAAGTTTCTCGACTTTCAACTTTGCTTTATCCTTATCTAGGATCTTCTATTAGTCGTCGTTTAATAGTACAATTTTAAGCGTCTTAAAGAGGGCTCGGATCGCGATTTAAACTATATAAGCGAGGTAGGGAAACTTCTATAGGGATGCAACTAGCAACGACGTCGGCTCCGATTTAATAGGGCTAGGGCTATTAATAGGCTCCTCTTTATCGTTATTATCGTGCGTATTGTCGTACGTATCCGGAATCGTAGCGAGCTTAATATTCGGAAGATTAAGCTAGATTGTAGACCTTATAATCTCCTCTACGTACTCGACCCTATCGATACAATTAGTAATTTTAAAGACATATGCGAGTGAATTGTATATACAACGCCTTATACAATGTTCGATTATTACTAGCGTTGTCCGCAGTAATCGAGATTAGTTTCGTTGTTACGCTAACCCTATCTATTGCCGTATAGACAAGCTTCGCTATATCCTTACTAGTATAGGAACCTAGAATTTCAGGGAATCCGATTATAAGTTCCTAGAGTTTCTAATCCGAATTGATAAAGTATAGCATAATCGAGAGGAAGGAGGCTCTTATAGTCTGGCTTAACTAGCTATCGATAGCAATAGCTACTTAGCGAGTATTACGGAGGATCTCCCGAATGTCGTCTAACGCAGCCTCTTTATTCTTTTCGAATATAATACGCTAGGTTATCGCGCCGAGAAATAGGGGAGGGTAGTTTATAAGATATAGGTATGTCTTCTATATAGACTCCCTTTCGTAGAAGTCTTCCGGAAGACCGTTTATAGCTAGTATTTCGTTTGCTAGTTGCTTAAAGTCTTCGGGGGAGAAATCGGTAGCCTTCAATCCTAGAGCTTCCTTAAGCGTAGCCTATAATAATTAGCTAGATCTCTACGGTTGATTTAGGTAGCCGGAATCTGTAGCCGGTAGCTATAGCCGGTAGCTATAGCCGGCATTTTAGAAGATATACCTCTTTCTAGAACGCTATATCTATATTAACTCTCCTCTCTTCTTAAGATTCCCGATACCGTTTAGAATAGAGATAGTTCGTAGGCGATAAGTTCCTATCCCCTAGTTTCGGGTATTTCAAGATTAAACCGTAGAAGTTACAGACAATTACTAGTTAACCTTTAAGTCGAGAAGTCGTATAACGGTATAATGCCCCCTCTATAAAGAACTTCTAGAATGTATCCGTTCGCTCCTTACTCCCCTATCGCATCGAGTACTTCTAGAGTTTATACTCCTTCGAACGTAAGTATAAAGGGAACTATATCTTATAGACCTATTAATTAAACTGCTCTATATACTCGGGTTTCTAAAGATACGCCTAGCTAGCCTTTTCGAAGATTTCCGGATTAATACTCGATATTCTTATATCTCCGAACAACCTTCTACTTAGACTCCGTAAAGGTAAGGACTAGGTAGTAGTACCCTATAATGAATTCCTACTACTAGGATTCGGAGAGGATAAATCTAGCCCTAATCGTAGTCTAGGACTCGATAGGCTCGAAGGTAAGTATACGACCTCCTCTCGACGTTATCGCAATCTCGCTCGTATACTAGACTGTTTCGACTGTCGTCTCGTTGTTACCCTTCCTAGTATAGCGCCTAGTATATATACAATGTCGGTCGGTATGTTTTAAGGTCTCGTACGGTAAGGTAAGGACTTAGGAGTAGTAGATATATACTAGTAGCTATAGAGAAACACCCTTTCTTTTATAGCATCGTATCGTTAGGAACAGCTAGGCAGTAAATAGCTAGCTACCTTTTTTTTTTGTTTCCTAGCTACCTAACTACTAGATTTTTTTTCCTAGCTACCCTAGCTAGCCTAACTACTAGAATTTCTTTCCTAGCTACCCTAACTACCTGAATTTTGCCTTCTATACGGCGGCTCTCTCCTACTAACGGAACCGAGCTACTATACCTAACGAATCTAAGCTCGTTTTTAGTCTTAATCTATCCTCTTTCGGTATAAGACACTCGATAAGCAAATGCTTAGGCCGAGTCTAACTACGAAACCTAAGACTAACTAATAGCTCTATTAACTAATCCTAATCCTCGAACTCCTTCCGCTTCTTAGTAAAGACCTTAAAGAGCGCTCGAGCTTCTTTAGGTGCCTACGGAGTAGTCGAGATAAAGCCGTATCGCTAAAATAGGTAATCCTTCGGAGGCTTATATAGAGATTTAGAGAATTCTAACGCCAACCTATCCTACTAGTAGCTTAGATTCCGGATATAAGCCCTCTCTGCCTTAGTAAAGATTTTATATAGCAGTAGCACTCTGCCTTCGAGAAACGCTTTCTATTTAACTGTTAGTATCTGCCGGCTACGAACGCCGGCTATATATGCCGAGTATAGAATAATTACCTATACCCCTTCCTCCTATAGTAACACTTCTACCGTCCCTAGATACCTAGCCCCGATCGTATTAATCGCAAGCTACTTTGCCTTTATAGACGCAAAGGCTTCGCTCTAATACTAATAAAGAAACTTCTACTCTATATCGAGGATATAAAGACGACTAGTCTCGATTCCAATCCTTGCTAGCTTTTCGTAGTAGCTTTAACTATAATTTTCTAGATTGATAGGACTTATGCCTTAGCCCTTTACTAGTATCTCGTCTCTTTAACTATACTCGATCTACTCCTAGCGCTTATCGTCTATAGCGTTAGGCCCTAAGACTGTACCTATTACTAGATCGACGTATAGTATCTCCTCGCTTTTTTTAGTTCCTTTATTCGTAGTATTAAGCTCTATCGCGGTATCCTAAACTTTAGCATTGTTGTTCTCGGCTATCTAAACATCTCCGTTACTATCGGTCGTATCGATAGAGGTAGCGGCTATAGGTCTGAATGCTATTAGTTAACGTATTAAAGAAAAATATGCCGGCTATAGCTACCGGCTACGGCTGCCGGCTATAGCTGCTAGCTACGGCCGCTAGCTAGATTAACTTACGCTACTAGAACTTTACGCTCGAAAACTAGCCGCAATTCTTTCCTCCTCTTAGCCTTCTCTTAGGTTGTCTTCTTATTCCAACCTTTACTTTTTTCTATAGGCGCTAGCTATCGATAGAATGCCTTATTCCGCGCCTTTCTTCTCTTATCCTTAGCTCTTTTATCCTTATCTATCTTGTCCTTTCTCTCGCGGTCTCGTACGGAATTCTTCTTTATAGAGTACTCCTCTTTAGTCTTACGCTTTTTAGTTAGACGCTTAGGCAAAACAAACTCGCGGTCTTTAGTTCTATCTTCTGTTTAGCGCGCGGCGCGCTTCTCTCTTACTATTATAAGGGAAAGGGGCGGGGGCGCAGCGTATAGTAGTTGTTATCGGTATAGGTATAGAGGAAGAAGTTAAAAGTATAAGAATGTCGCAAAGCCCTAATTATTGCCGCCTATGTAACGTTATATAGGTAAGCTTTCGCAACTACGGTAACTACGCCCTAGCAATAGCAACTACGCCCTAGCAACGGCAACTACGCCCTAGCAACGGCAACCACGCCCTAGTAACGGTAATAAAGCGTAGTAAATACAACCTAGTAACTATTATAGCCGGCAATCGTAGCCGGCAGTCGAATAAGAGTGTCCTTATAGCAAAACCACGCCCTAGTAACGGCAACTACGCCCTAGCAACAGCAACTACGCCCTAGTAACGGCAAAAGAGCGTAGTAAATGTAACAGAGTTACTATTATAGCCGGCAATCGTAGCCGGTAGTCGAATAAGAGTGTCCTTATAGTAAAACTAATATAGTCTCTAGTTTAAACTAGGAATCTATATAGTTCGAAAAAACTAAACCGGAACTAGGGAGCTAGTTCGCCGCTAAGAAACCAAACTATATACGTTTGGTAGTTCGGAAACCGAACTACTGCGAGGTCTAGACGAGTCGTCTATTCGAGCGATTACGACGGCTTCGAGGGTGCCCTCGAGTAGGAAACAACGCATACATCGACAAATACGTACGAATATACTAGAAGACAGATAGCAAAGAAGAGAAGGACCTTCTAGAGGTTGCCGCCTTATATAATAACTATATAGGTAGTATTAACATCTATAACTAGCTACGCTATTATTGCTTAACCTAGTATAAGTTAAGGAAGGGCTAGCATCTACTATTCTACTTCCTACTAGATGCTATAGTAATTAACTTATTCGTTCTCGTCCGTAGCGATAAGAAGTAGACTAAAGACTAGCGACTTACTTACTAGCGCGACTTCCGTATATCGCTAGCATAGCAAATAGTCTAACTCGGATAGTAAGAGCTTAATAAGATAGAAGCAACAGAGGCCGCTATAAGGGCTCTACGTATACCGACTCCGCTACCTCCTCGAAGCTATAGTTAATTTATCTTAGGTTACACCTATAATAGTAGTAGACCTCGATCTCGGCGACATTAGATTAGGAAAGGCGATAGCTTACCTATAGCTAAGAACCTCCGTCGTCTCGAGCGTAGTAGCAAAGCCGTCTACTAAATAAAGGCTGTTCTTCTACGCTAACGTTACTATCTCTATAAGTACGTAAGGACCGCTTAGGGGTTCAAATATTAGCCTATTAATAGCAGGCAAGAGCACTAGACGACTAAGGCTTGTCGATATTATAGTCCTATTGCTATCTACAATACTTATAAGCCTATATAGCACTACTAGCCGGATTTATACGCCTTCTTTACTAGACTTCAACCTTAACCGGAAGCGGCTTCTACGCTAGGCTCTGTAACACCTTCACTTAAGCCTTTAATAGGCTCTATAGCGCCGACTTTAACTTAACAACCTCGTTCTTTAGCTTACTTACTTCCTTCTATAGGCTATTAAACTTAGCTACCCTAATAACCTCCTCGTCGCTATAAGAGCCTTCTTTATCCTTTAGACCTTTAGTACGCGCTAACTCCGCCTATTACTAGCTTACTAGGTTTAGGTCTACCCTTAAGTCCTTTACCGTTAACTCGAGCTTCGAGAGACGCTTAATAAGTGCCCTCTAGCGCTTACTCTTAGTAGATAAGTGCAGCTTTAATAGACTCGCTAGTAGCACTAAGTTATAGACCTCTTCTACTATCAATTCTATACCTTTTAACCGTAGTCTACGGCGCTGTTTTAACTCTTCCCTTAAGCGGAAGCGGACCGGTCCCTTATTATATATATTAGTCTATATTTAACTATATCTATAGAAGCAGTCTATATACCTTTCTACTTAGTATACTTAGCGGCATTGTATTCCTTCACTTGCTAAGGTTTGGCTGTAGAGCCTTTAGCTGCAAAGGACGACTCGTGAAGGTGTCGGCTTCTTAACCTTCAGCTCTACTACGGCTGAATCCGAGACCCAATCGGACAGCCTCGCAGTTCGAGGGGCGATGCAGGTTTGTATGGGGCCACACTGAATTTAGCATCAGATGTGGAACCGAGCAGGGGGACTGCCAGGGTGGGTGTTCAGCGGAGATAACCACGGCCTTCGTTAAGGGGATCGGGAGAGCAAGAAGTCTGAAGTCGTGACGCGAAACGACACGAGAGCTCCGAAAGGCTGGTCTCGGCAAAATACTTAATCTCGCCAGCCATGCCATGCCATGCCATCATGGATGTCATCGGTCAGTGCTCAACGGTTCAAGGGCGAGTCGGATCATACGGGACGCAGTATCGATAGCACGAACTGCCTCTTTGGCGCAAGACGACCAGCATGCAAGTGTATGAAAGCCTGCCTTGGCCCTTTCAAGTCGACTGGCCAAATTTCGCCACTACTTTGACCACTAGAAGTACAGACACGTTACCAGGGGCCGGCCTCCGAAGGGAAAGCGGAATGAGTTCCAGAACGAAGCAGCGTCTTCACATCAAGACATCGAATCTACAAGGTCTTCTTCCCACAATCTTGTCTCCAAGGTGTTCCCATCCAGCTAGACTCTCGTGCCCTGGAAGATGTAATCTCGAGAGTCGAGAGTGTTGAGTGGAGGATGAAGAGGTCTTTAGCGACATGTCCCAGCCGGCACAGGCTGCATGTTGCATCTTTTTGCAGATCTATGCCGACGAATAGGACTATGCGGACGCAGAGTCCCACATAGACCGGCGACAGCGGCAGCTCTGCCGGTGCATTGTGCATTGCCAACGCTTGATGAGGGTTGAAGCAGACTGAGATGATGCAGATCCAGCTCTACCAAGTAATCGGATTAGACGCGGGGATTGTGTGCCACTAGATGCGATCGGCTCACGGGGCACAGGCTGGCGCCGATCTGCTCTCTGCACTGCGGGAGGGTATGGGTAGAACTATGGGTATGGGTATGGGTATGGCCGTGCACAGAAGGCTGCGTGACAGGCCCACGGAGGACTCCGCCATGCGCCATGCGGGAGCGCGCGATCAAATCAACTGCACACAGCGTGAGCGTGAGCAGCGGTGCGGCCATTTGCGATGTATATCCAGTAGTTCTATGGAGATGCAGATGCAGGTGCAGGTGCAGGCGCAGGTGCAGGTGCAGGTGCAGGAGCATGGGCCAGGCGATCTCCACTCAGCGCTCCACTCCACTGCTCCTCAAGTGTTACGGTACAGTATACAGTGCTATACCTGGGGGTGTAATTATGTTAGTAAAACCTGTTGTTAGTAACGTTAGCAACACTACTAGTAACTGTAGATAATAAGACGTAGTTATTAGTAATAATAGGGCTAAATACCGCTAATCTAAGAAGGAAGTTTAGGTCTATCTAGCTTTAGAAGAGACTATTATTACTATAGAATATAGAATATTATATAGACTATTATTGCTATAGATATACTTAACTAAACCGTAGTCGCTAGAGCGCCTATAAGAACCTAAGTAAGTAAAGTCTTCTATCCTACCTTAGTAAGCCTATATAATAATTATATAATATTATTACGTATACTACGGTACTATCCCGCTAGCGTAGAGCCTACTTAGTATATACGTAGAAAAGCTCGGTCGCTTATACGGATATACTCGGTTACCGGCTCGGTAGATATACTATCTATACGTAGCCTAGTTAATAGTAAACGCTCTACCCTATTCTTAGAAAGGTACGGTTTAGTTCTACTATCTACTACTAAGATTAGTAGAGAGTATTCTATACGTTGCTATATACCTATTTTCTAATAGTTCTAACCTATCTACTCTTTATAGCGGCCTATAGAACTCTAAAAGATAAACGTAAGCAACCTAAATATACCGGGCGCGGAAACTGCGTAAAATAATATACTAGGAGCGCCGGTAGTATTAGAAAACAATACGGCGATATAATAATACGAGGCCGAATATTAGGCGTATTAAAAAGCGACCCGCCTACGGCTCGAACGATTTCTAGCTAAGTAAGAAGTACTTAGGCTAGAAGTATAGGCTTAAGAAGCTAAGCGAGAAAATACGCGTTTCTATACTCTTAGAGATATAGGCGATATACCGGCTCCGAGTAGCGGTACCGCCGGCGGAGGTCCTATAATAACCCCTCTCTTAGGTAATAACGACGATAGTAAGGACAAAGTAGAATTAGCGGACGAGTCGATTTAAAGGCCTAAATTCTAAAGAGCTAAATCCCTCTCGTATCGACTACCTCTTTTTAGAAGTACGCTAAGTATAGCTACTATACCTAGTATAAGCTACGTAGTCGCTAGTTTTACGGCTATTAAGCCTCGCTTAAAGGAACCTAAGCCCTTTAAAGGCGATACGATTAAGGAATCGAGGCGATTCCTTTAGGAACTTTCTATTACTTTTACGCTATCCGGAGCTATCTATTATATAGATAAAAGCAAGGTACTTTATAGTATTATATATCTCGTAGGCGATATATAGGAGCGATAGTATAACGAAAACAGCCTTAAGGACCTATAGAATTATACCTACTAGGACTTTAAAACCTTCTATTAGAACTACGTCGGGGACCCTATAAACTATATACTAGATATAACCCTCGAGTATAAGGTAGCTCGTTAGCGTAAGGGATAGTTAGTTTAAAGCTTTACCCTTAAGCTTATAGTACTCGAAGACTAACTTAGCGACTATAGCGAGGAATATAGGATCCGCTATCTCCTCGTTAAACTCTAGCTAACGATTCGTAGCGCGATTATTAAATACTATACGGTACTAACGACGCGTTACAAACTCGTAGAGCTTACGACGCGTATCGAGACCCCTAATAAGCTATCTAGTAAACGCAAGGATCGTAACTACGATAAAACTAGAGGTAGTAACGGTAAGAAGCGTCGATTTAATAGTTACGCCTATAAGCTATAGTTAAATCGCGACCGCGGAGTAGGCGGGAAGCATTCGAAGAACGATAACTTATAAGGCGGATACGATATTAGTAAGGTCGAATATTATAGCTATCGCTAGAAAGGCTATTATAAGAACGTATACCCTAACCGCTACTTCTAGAAAGACAATAACCCTACGGTACGTAAGGTCGCCGCTAACGCTAAGGAAAAGAAGAACGACCCGAAGGCTAAGGGAAAAGATAAGGCACCTCCTAAGAGCTAGGGATAGGTATAGAATCTTAACTAAGTAGCTTAGTAGTAGTAGTACCTACGGGACGCGTACGCGGAGCAATTATTATATAAGAAGGGGAAGTCGCTATCGAATACTTACTAGATAATACCGCTAATATTAATATAGTATCGTAAGAATTCGTTCTACGATACTAGCCTTAGCGGATTATTAATACTATACTACCTAGTACCGATAGTTTCTAGAGTAACCGAGGATACTACTATAGAGCGTATTATCTACGCTTACGGATCGCCGACTCTATAGGCTAAGAACGTATTACTACCGGAGTATTCTACGCTTTCGAAATACCCCTCCCTAATATTATTCTTAGTAGGCCTTAGAGGCGCAATTAAAAGGTAATTATCGATAGCTCGACGGATACCTAGACCTATAGGAACGAAGCCGTAGCGCGTACGATACGTATACGGGAACTATAGGAATTCTAGAAGGATATACGTAACGCTCTATACGTATATACGATTAGCGTTCGCTAGCTCCGCGATATCGCTAAGGGTTCCTTTTTACTAGAAGAATTTAAAGACTTCGAAGACGTCTTTACTATAATATCTAAAGCGCGACGTAAGCTCCCCGAAGACGTAGAGTATACGATCGACCTAATCCCCGGAACGAAGCCGCTATATAAACCTCTCTACTATTCTTTAGGAAGAGAGCTTAGCGACCTTTATAATTACCTAAGCTTAGCCTTAGAGAATAATTAGATCTAGCTTAGTATAAGCGAGGTAGGTACGCTAATCCTATTCGTACTAAAGAAGGATAGTAGTCTAAGACTCTACGTCGATTATAGGGGGCTAAACGAGATTACTATTAAAAATCGTTATCCCCTACCTCTTATTAGCAAAACGCTTAATAGGCTTAAGGACGCCGAATAGTATACGTCTTTAGACCTCTAGGATACGTATTACTATATCTATATTAAGCGAGGCGACGAGTAGAAGACTACGTTCCGTACGCGGTACGGGCACTTCGAGTATAAGGTAATGCCTTTTAGGCTTACTAATACTCCTACTACGTTTTAAGGATATATTAATAGGGCGTTAGCTAGCCTAGTTAATATTAATACTCCTACTACGTTTTAAGGATATATTAATAGGGCGTTAGCTAGCCTAGTTAATATTTGCTATATCGTTTACTTTAACGATATCCTTATCTATAGCAAAACGTAAGAGGACTACGTACGAGATATACGCGCTATCCTTACGCGGCTTAGAAAGTTTGTACTATATATAAATAGGAAGAAATGTTCCTTCTAGAAGAAAGAAGTCGAATTCCTAGGGTTTATCGTTAGTACTAAAGGCGTATCGATAGATTAGCGTAGGGTAAACGCTATTAACGAATAGCCTCGCCTATTAACGCTAAAGGAGGTCTAATCCTTCCTCGGATTCTATAACTTCTATCGGAGGTTTATCCCTAATTACTCCCGGATCGTTATACTACTAACCGCCCTATTAAAAGCAGCCGTAAATAGCTAAAAGCTAGAGTAGGTCCCGTAGGGCGAAAGCGAGGAGCAAGCGTTCTACTAGCTAAAGGCTGCCTTTAGCTTAGCTTCGATATTGCGATACTATAATCCTACGAAGCTCCTATATATCGAAACTAATACCTCTACGTTCGCCTTAGTAGGGATTATATTATAATAAAGTAAAGATAGGAACTAGTACCCCCTAGCCTTCTAGTTACGAAAAATAATCCCTATAGAGATTAATTATAAGACCTATAACTAGGAACTCCTAGCGGTTATCGAGTCCTTTAAGTATTAGCGCCCGTATCTCGATAGCGCCTAGTATACGATCTATATAGTTATCGACTACGCTAATCTTAAGGGCTTTATAAAGATAAAGTAGCTCGTTAGAAGGTAGGCAAGATAGGCAACCTTCCTTATATCTTTTAACTTTACTATTAAGTATCGGGCTAGTAAACGAAATCTAGCTAACGTACCTTCGCGACGTAGCGACTATAAGAGCGAGTCGTAGGCGGTAAACAACCTTCTTTCTATATTATAGTCGAAACTAGCTTTATAGTTAAATCTGCCTGAGGATATCGAGCTAATTATAAATCGCATCTCTATTATATATATAGGGATACGAGACGCTAGTATAGCGCTAGCGGAACGTAAGAGTTTTATTATTAGTCCCGTAAAGGTAGCGGCTACTATTATTAGGAATAACGGGCCCTACTACGAGACGCCTAATATAATCCTTAGTTTTGTATACGCTTTTATAAGAAGGGTATATTAGCAGGTAGATAGGGTAGTAGTCGGTATAGGTAGTATTCGATAAGGAGCTAGAAAGAGAGGGAGGAAGGCAGGCAAGTTAGCCAATTGCTAAGCGCTAAGCCCTACCTAAGGCACTAAGACCCTAGCTTTACTTAGCCTAGTTATATACTAATCACGTATAGCCTCTTTAGCCCTAATATACGCTTCCCTTCTAAAGGCCGCGCCCTCGTAGCCTGTCTATATTCTACGACCTCTATTACCGCTAACTTAGCAAGTCTAATAAGCTGCTTAGCCCGCGCTAAATTAAACACTTAACTACCTAATTATGTAACTATGTCAAACCTTACCTCTAATACAATGTCTAACTCTAACTACGCTATCCTTATATACAATAAAGTAAAGGGATATAAAGCTATAAGAATTAAGGGCTATCGACTAATTATAATACGGGCGCGTCTTCCCTACTATAATAGGTAGACGTACGAGGTATTGCAGCCCTACCTCCGCTCTAAGTAATGTCGTTCCGAGTTCTTTGCGTCTACTCTAAAAGACCTAGAAATGTCCGCTTCCGAGGGTTTGTCCGTTCCGAGGGTTGCTCTTATTATTACGAGGGCTATTATTTACTATCGTAGTTTTACTAGCCCTAATTAGTTAGGTTTAGCAGCCTTTAAGTGTTAACTAATTATATCTTTTTAAAAAACTCAGTTCTTTTAGTTTCTATAGGTAAAGGCTATTATAAGTATAGTAGTAGAGGTTCGCTTCGCTTAAAGGGTCGGAAAGATCGAGGAGTAACCTATTGTCCGCAAGATCGACCCTAGCTAGCTTAGCTCTATAGTTTTTGCCCTTAGTTAGTCTATTAGTCGCTTAATCTTTTAGGCGTCTTAAAGTTTTAATCAAAGTTTTGATTAAAGGTGCCTTAGGCTCGTAGTATAGGTAAGGTTGTATCCGTAGGCGTAGTAATAATAGCAAGTAATATTAACAATAGCGGCGCTAGTCGTCTTAGCGCTAACTTTACCTTGCTTTCGATTTCCTTCTTCGACTAACAATACACTCCGTAATACTATTACTAATATAGGCGCGCGCGCTATCTTCTAATACGCCGTTATTCGTACGCGCGCGCGCATCCTCGTCGATTGCCTAGGCCTCGAGGTCTCGATAGAATAAAGGAATAAGAGGTAGAGTCCTTAAAAGAGTAGTAACTAATTAATTAACGCGTCGTAGCGCGCCTAGTATAGTCTTATTGTCCTAGTTTGCCGGCTTCTAATTAGTTAGCTAATAGCACCCTAGGGGTAGCATTAATCCTAGGCCTTAATAGTAATATTATAAGCTTTTAGCCTTCTTCTTATTCTTTACGCTAGTCTAATACTTATCTAATAACTCGGCTATATCCTCGAAGGAGTCTTCAGCCTCCTATAAGTCCTATTTAGGTAAATAGCCTTGCTATCTTAGGAGGTACTCCTTCTTGCCTTACCTAGTCCGGTGCTTTAGGATACGTTCTATAGACTATAGCTCTTTACTATTAGCTAAGACTTCTTCTAACTTAGCAGGCGCTTTATCGCCTTCGCGCTAGTAATATAGTTTAAGGAGGGAGATATAGAAGGTGTTATAGATAGTATAATAAGATAGAAGCTATAACTAGTAGGCCTAGCTATTGCCCTTCGGTTCTCGGATGCGGAATAGGCTAATATATCTTAGTGCGAGCTTAGGCCTTGTTTTACTATTAGGCGATAGGTGTTTACGGATGCGGAGGTTCTTAGTACTAAGCATAACTATGTCGCCTTGCTTAAAGGTTATTAGCGTATAATGCTTGTCGTAATAGGTCTTTTAATACTCTTAAGCCTTTGTTAGCTTCTTAGCTATCTTAGCATAGATTTCTCGCATCTTCTAGATACGTTCTATTACCGCTAGTATCTCTAGTACTTAACGCGCTTCCCTTTCCTTACGCTTAGCCTCGAGCGATAATAGGTCTTGTAGTATAGCAGCATTCTAGCCTATTATAGCTATATATAGTGAAACCTTAGTAGATAAGTGTACGCTATTATTGTATACGAATTCCGTAGGCTATAGGAGATTAACCTAATCCTCGGGGTTTTTATTAATGTAGCTACGTAGGTACTGCTATAGGGTAGCATTCTGCCTCTCTGTTTGACCGTTAGTCTATAGATAGAAGGCTATTAATAGCCGATGCTTTAGTCTTAGCTGTAAGCAAATCTCGCTCTAATAGTAAGATATTAGTGTCGATCTACGATTAGACACTATCCCCTTAGGGGTTCCCTAATAGGTATAGAAGATATTAGTCTATAGCGCTTCCGCTATATTAATAGCAGTCTAATCTTTGCGCGCCGGGATATATCGAGCGCCTTTAGTAAATCGATCTACTATAATAAGGATAGCATTATATATATCCTTGCTACCCCTACGCTTAGTAGGAGGAAGGCCTATACTAACTATCCCTTACGCTAACGAGCTACCTTATACTCGAGGGTTATATCTAGTATATAGTTTATAGGGTCCCCGACGTAGTTCTAATAGAAGGTTTTAAAGTCCTAGTAGGTATAATTCTATAGGTCCTTAAGGCTGTTTTCGTTATACTATCGCTCCTATATATCGCCTACGAGATATATAATACTATAAAGTACCTTGCTTTTATCTATATAATAGATAGCTCCGGATAGCGTAAAAGTAATAGAAAGTTCCTAAAGGAATCGCGAAGCCGAGGAACGATTAAAGCTCCTTAATAGACGTAGGAATAGGCTATTTAGTAATTGTTTTAATCCGATTAGGATTAGCCTTAACACTATTAGTTAATACGATAAAACTAAGGAAGGCTACCTCCTTAGTAGCGAAGGTGCATTTAGAAGGCTTGTAATATAGTCTATAGGTCCTTAGGCGATCGAGTACCTTACGGACTATAGCCTAGTATTCCGTAATATTAGGAGAGTATATATAAACTAGGATATTATCTAGGTAAACTACATAGAGGTAATCTAATAGGCTTTAGTGCTTTAACTCGCTAGTATACTATACAGGTCTGTATATACTCCTTTATATACCGCTTACTATTTAGCTAGTAGTATATACGCGATAGTAACTCGTGCGACCTCTCTATACTATAGTAACTAGCGAGCTTACTATTATAGTGCCTCTTTAAAAGCTCTTATCTAATCGATTGTTTAGCGGGGATATAGTATCTACCCTTAAACTTTAAGTAACCTTTGTCGTCGATCGACTAATTACTCTTACTAGATCGAGTCGTTCGCCTACTTATAAGCCTATTAATACGGTTAATAGCAAAGGCGTCCCTCTACTAAGCCCGTAATAGCTTATCTATAAACGATTAACTATCCCTATTTGCAAGGTTATTTAATAGCACCCTTACTATTAAACGAGGTACGTATTATATATATCTAATAGCACTAGCAGCCGGAACTACTACAACCTCTTCTATAGTGCTATCGCTATATAGGCTATTACTATAGATAGTAATGTCTTTAATCGAGTTATTATAGCTCGAGCGATCTACGTCCTTTCTAACGCATACTAGAAGAACGACAACTCCGCTATAGTATTTATTGCCGCCGCGGGGTCCGGAAGTCCGCTTATCCTACGCTTACTTATTAACAATACGGGCTATAGCAATCTTATACTATAGGGTTAGAAACAATAAATTGATATACTAAGTCTCGCTATCGTAATTAGGTCGCCTCGATAGGCTATTAGTAGGGTTGCTTACGCCTAGCCGATATAATATATTAAAATCGAACCCGGCGAGGTAGACGGCCTATCTAGCCTATCGACCTATAACCCTAGTAACCTTCGTAATTCTACGGAGGTTGTTATAGTCCGTATAGACCTAAATTGTATGCTAAGCACTATCGAGATAGTAGCGCTAATACTTAAAGGCTTCTACGATTGCTAAGAGCTCTTGCTCGTAGGTCTCGTATCGACGCTTTATATCGATTATTTTTCGTAAAAAGAAGGCAATCGGGTACTAATAGGTGTTATTAGCCTATTGTAATATAATAGCTAATATAGCGAACTATAAAGCGTTAGTCTCAATTCGGATCTGCTTACTTAGTACGAAATAGTATAACAAAGGGACTTTAGTAAATTGCTTCTTTAGACCGTTAAAAGCGGCTTGTGTTTTGTTAGTCTACCTAAACTCTCTAGAAGGGTTTGCCTTAGTCTTAGTAAGCTTAGTTAATAGCATTATATACCTCGAATAGCCCTTAATAAAACGGCGGTAGAAATTAGCGAAGCCGAGGAACGATTAAAGCTCCTTAATAGACGTAGGAATAGGCTATTTAGTAATTGTTTTAATCCGATTAGGATTAGCCTTAACACTATTAGTTAATACGATAAAACTAAGGAAGGCTACCTCCTTAGTAGCGAAGGTGCATTTAGAAGGCTTGTAATATAGTCTATAGGTCCTTAGGCGATCGAGTACCTTGCGGACTATAGCCTAGTATTCCGTAATATTAGGAGAGTATATATAAACTAGGATATTATCTAGGTAAACTACATAGAGGTAATCTAATAGGCCCGAAAGGGCCCGATTAATATAGGACTAGAATATTATAGGGGCATTAGCTAAGCCAAATAGCATAACTAAGTACTCGAAATAGCTATAGCGAGTACGGAAGGCTGTCTTCTATTTATCGCCCTTACGGATACAGATACGATAGTACGCATCCTTAATGTCTAGTATAGTATAGAAGTAGGCCCTAGAAAGGCGATCGAGGGTCTTATTAATAAGAGGAAGTAGACAGCGGTCTTTAATAGTAACAGCATTAAGCCTACGATAGTCGACATATAGGTATAGGCTACCGTCCTTCTTCGGTACGAATAGGATAGGTATACTAGCAGGGCTGTTACTATACCGAATGCGGCTATTAGCTAGGTTTTCCTCTAGGTACTTACGCAATATAGCAAGCTCGCGCTTACTAAGGTTGTAGAGTAGTCTAAAAGGAACCTCTTTGCTCTCTATAATGTTAATCTTATAATCCGTCTCCTTAAATATAGGCAATATCGATGCCAAGTAGTATTTGAATATATTAATATAGGTCTCTCGAATAGGCTCTAGTATACGAGCAAGCTAATTAGGGTCTATGCTATTAGGGGGCATAGATTTATCGTTATTACTACCGAGTAGGTCGGCAGTCGCATTAGCTAAGGCGGGTGTTAGGTTACTAATAAATAGGACCCTAATATCGTTAGGGCACTCGCTAATATTAATGTGTTTAATGTCCTCTTTTCTAGCGATTCTAAATCGCTACTTCTAAATGCCTAAGTCTATAGCTATAGCGTAGTACTTAAGAACAGGGTTGCTAATAACAATATCGGATAGGAGGCTGTCTATATCTACCGCGTAGGTAGTAAAGTTTAGTAGGCGCTTATTGCCGAGGTTATCTCTTAGGGCTATATAGACATAGTAAGCTCTATAGGTCAAATGCCGAGCGTTATTAAACCAAGCAAGGGTTAGTAGGTTAGTCCTAGGCAATTGTCGAAGGTCTAATTGCTTAGCTAGGCGATAGCTAATAAGGGCACTAACTGAATTTCCTAGGTCTAGTATAACCTTAGTTTTATAATTAGTACTATACGAGTCCGATACGAGACAGGTACGTGTAATAGCTAGCACAATATCGATAGTCTTACGCCGTATAAGGCTAACAGTTAGTGCGGCGCTTACTCTTTTTTCGAAGGTTAGCCTATAGGGGTAGCGTTAGCCGCTAAGAGGTGCTTTCGGTATTTAGCGGAAGCACGGTCAATTCGGGCCTAGTCCTTAGGTTTGTCGCATTAGCCTAGTAGATAGTTAGTGCTGTTACAGTTAAAGCACTTTAATCCGGTTAGTAGACTGCCGTAGCTATTGTTATTGTTAGTAGAGCGGTTAGTATTATAGGGATACGAGCCCCTTCTACGACCCCTATCGCGGCCTCCTCTATATAGCCGCCGGCTACGGCCTCTTCTACGGTCGTTGTTACTATTCCTACTATTAGCATTATTATCCTAGTAGGAACCTTAGTTTCCTCCGCGGCTACGGTTGCTACGGTTAGTACTAGTTAGTCGGATCCTTAATTCTAGTCGTTATTAGAGCTAAATAGCCCGTTCGGCTGTTTCCACTTCGACTATAAATTGAATACGTATTAGATTAGCTTATTC